GATGATAGCTAGACACTTGGTATGCTTTTTAAGTAATGCTAGTACCTTGCTTTTAATATTGATCTCATGAGGTATCTAGTGCTTTGATTTCTAAGTGATATCTAGCTAACCATGGTGCTAAGGATGAACTTAAAAGTGCAACTCCGATTGGTATCACACTTTAAAGGTTTACTCTATACACCTTAGCATCATTTGGTAGTAATTACTCTCCTATAATTCCAATCTATGCATATGTGCGAGCTTCAAACCAAACACTCTAGCACATATGTAGGGGGAGCTAATACTACCATTTTGGGTTTGTGGTACTTGTCCAAAATCATTTACACATAGTAAAATTGCTTGGGCAAGCAACATGAATCCAAAAGAGCTTAATTTCCATATCTTTGTAGAGTTGTCATCAATTATCAAAAAGGGGGAGATTGAAAGGTCCTTGTGTGGTTTTGGTAATTGAGTGACAACCTAGGTGGACTAATTGTGTTTATGTGAGATACACAAGTGATTAGTCCATAGGTACATGTGTGTGAGAAACATATGCCATGAAGGTGGAAATGGCTCGGAGATGTTGCAAAGCTCACACATGTGATGATGAAGGAGCTCATTGCACATGAGACATGACATTGAGTCATGTGATCAAGGTGGAGAAGATCAACACAAGACTTGGCATCGATGGACAAAGGCAACGGTAAAAAGCAAGTGAAGTCAAGATCGATGAACCAATATGATCACGTGATGATATGAAGTGGATCATATCATTGTTGATCGTGTTGGTGCATGTGTTGCATCGACAATGGAGGAGATGGAATGGAATGCGTAAGGCAAAGGTATAATCTAGGGCATTTTATTTCACCGGTCATAGGTGTGTAGAGAAGTTGATGACCGGGTTTAGGATAGATGTCCATACTATCAAGAGGGGCAAACTTGTTTGCATATCGGTCATCTAGTGCCACTCGAGTGATCTAACTTTGCATCATCACTAGGATCGAGTGGCGTGGCAAGTTGAGTGGCTAATCCTTTGAAAAATGTTTGTGAAAACCTAACACATATACACATGATGGTGTACACTTGGTAGTGTTGGCACATTTGCAAAGGAGAAGGAGTTGGAGTTGAAATGGATCAACTCAGTGAAGAAACGGAGGCGAGAAGGGTCACTGTGAGTGACCGGAACGCTGGCCTCGACAGGACCGGCGCGTCTGGTCAGTGGCAACAGTGAGCGTGCGGTCTTGGTCTCATGATCGGAGGCTGGCGTGAAGAGTGATCGGACGCTCTGGTCTGCGTCTGGTCAGTGCTGACGTACGCTGACATGGTGGTGTGAGGAACAGCAGTGACACATGGCAGTCGGAGAATGACCGGACTCTAGTGCTGTGTCCGGTCGTGCAGGAGCGGACGCGTCTGGTCAAAAAATAGAAGCTCGGGGAGCTCTCTAGAAACGACCGGACTCTGACTGGTCTACGTCCAGTCGTGCAGCACGGACGCGTCCGGTCGCGAAACAGAGGCTCGGGAGCTCTCTGGAAACGACCAGACTCAGGCGGTGATGCATCCGGTCATCATGTGACCGTTGGCGTGTGAAGTTACCGTTGAGATCGGACGTCTCCGATTGAATGCAGAGCGACACGTGGACGGCATAGCATGATCGGACGCTAGCAGGGTGCGTCTGGTCGATCTAACCGGAGCATCCGGTCACCCCGAGCTATGCCCAGTGAAGGGGTACAATAGCTCTATTTTTGTGGGGGCTATAAATAGAAGGTGGTCTCGGCCATGGCTGAGGTTGAGCACCTTGGGGGACTTTGTGTCCATGCTTGAGAGTGCTTGGGAGCCCTCTAACTCACTCTAGCTTGATAGTGTTCATCCGATTGAGTGAGTGAGCGATTCTAGTGTGATTGCATCGTGTGGTTGCATCGAGTGGCACTAGGTGGTCGTCTTGCAAGCCAATGGTGCATGTTACTCTTGGAGGTTGCCACCTCCTATATGGCTTGGTGGTGGTCTCCGTTGAAGCCCGCAAGAAGCTTGTGCGGTGCTCCGGAGAAGAGCTTTGTGAGGGGCATGTTGCTCGCCCCATGGAAGCCTCGAAGAGCAACTCTAGTTGAGCGTGTCATTGAGCTACCTTCACTTTCAGGATAGGTTCTTGCGGTGCCCGACGTGCGGGCTTGGCGGATGATGCCAATTAGCCGCCAAACCACCAAGTGAGCGGTCGACACAACGGGGACGTAGCGTGTTGGCAAACACGTGAACCTCGGGAGAAAATCACCGTGTCAACATTGTTCTTCCCGTTGGTTTGCAATCCCCTTACACAAGCTTGTAATTACTTTCATATACATTGTGCTAGTGTAGTTGCTCTTGTAATTAGTTAGCTTGTGTAGCTCACTAATTACCTACTTGCTTGTGTAGCATAGAAGTAGCTCCCTTGCGTGGCTAATTCGGTTTGTGTAACATTGTTAGTCACATTGCTTAATTTGTGTCGCTAAGTATTTGCGCTCTCTAATTTGGCATTGGTTGCCTTGTTATCGAACATTGCTAGTGAGCTTAGGAGCTTTGTGCTTTTGCTTACTAAAATTGTGTAGGAGCTCCCTAGTGTGTAAAATACTAGTGGTATAGGTTTGTGTGACCTTGCTCCTAGAATTGGATGGATGAGCTTTAACTAGTCCGGCACCTTTGTTGCCTAATTAGGATCTTTATAAGGTGCTTGTCAATATTCGATAGAGGGATGTAGTCTTGCCTAGACTGATTATTTTAATTCCGCATTTGTTTCGATTAGCTGTCACGATTAAAATTTAGTAATGACTATTCACTCCCCTCTAGTCGCCATCTCGACCTTACAACCGACCATTGGGGGGGCACCACCACCCCTAGGGTGGTGCTACCACCGCCGAGTCCTATGACCCCGTAGAGACAGCTCCAAAGGGATAACGACTCTATTTGCTTGTGGGCTTATAAATAGAGCGTGCGGCCGGCCTTGGCTACTCTCTTGGCACTTCTTACACCTGCATACACCCTTTGGGAGCTGAGCACACCACTCCACTCACTTGCACACTTGATTTCATCATCTTGAGTGAGATTGGAGAGCCTCTAGTGCATTGCTTAGTGGTCTAGCATCTTGTGGCACTAGTTGGACCATTTGGGCTGGTGGAGAACTTCTTACTCTTGGTGTTTGCCGACACCTAGATGGCCTGGTGATTGGTGGATCATCGAGCAGAGGAAGATGATTGTCTCCGGCTATGATCATTGTGATTGTGAGGGGTTCTTGTTCCTTCCCCGGTGGAGCGCCAAAGGCAACTCTAGTGGATTGCGCGTGGCTTGTGGATCCTCATCTTGTGTTGGTTGTGTGGCATCCGGTTGCGGGTTAGGCGATGATGCCTATTAGCATATGAACCTCCAAGTGAGTGAATCGCCACAACGGAAACTAGCTTGCCGGCAAGCAAGTGAACCTCGGAGGAAAATTTGATTGGGTCATCATTGTCTCCATGGTATTCATTGTGATTGATCACTTGCCACGACGGTATATCATCTCTACGTATCTTGTATTACTTTTCTAGTATAGCTAACCTTTTTAGTGTAATTAGTTTTGAGAGCTACCTTTCTTGCTTGTGTAGTTTGGTTAGTGAGCCTCTTTAGTTAGTCTTTGAGAGCTCACTAACTTAGTGATAGTGACCTAGCCTTTGTATGCTTAGAGACTATAGCAACTAGAGTTGTGGTATGTGGCTTGCATTTTAGTAGGCTAGCGCAAAACTTGCTTCGCCTCATATTTGTCTAACGTTTTGGCTTAGTGTTGTTGTAGATTTTTAATAGGCTATTCACCCCCTCTAGCCATTAGGACCTTTCACTCCCCAGCGGGAGGAGGCGTTGAGGAGCCCACACGGAGGATGGGGGAGAGGGAGAGGGCCGCCGAGCCCCTCCTGCGCCGGTGCACTGCACGCAGGGACGCCGTCGCTTGGCACCTGCTGCAGCATCGGGAAGGAAGGGGAGAGAGAGGAAGGGAAGGGAGAAACGTAGGTGAGAGACAGGCGAGGGAGGGCGGAGGAGGAAGAGGAGGAGATGAAGGGGGAGGAAGGCGGCCGCCGCAGCACCCTGGGCGCGTCCGTCGCCATGGTCGCGTCGGGATGGAGAGAGAGAGAGCGACGGGGGGAGAGAGAGGAGGGAAGAATCTGGAAGGAGAAGCAAGAGCCGCAGCATATATTTGGTTTTCCGGATTCGGACGAGAAGCGGGAGAAGCGAAGGATAAGGGGGAGAAGCCAACCGGAAGCAAGAGAATCGGTCGTTGGCGAGAATCCGCTTCAAGGAATCTAGAGCGTCGAACTGAAGATCCAATGGCCAGGAACATTTGGAGCGACGTGGACAGGGTTTCTGGCCAAGCAGCTGTCGCAATTTGTAGTTTCTAATAACTAGAATTGTGTAGCAGTTTGCTTGTGGTGTATTAGAGCTAGAGCTAGTAGTTTGTATAGTTACCGTTTTAATTACTAATCACCTTGCTCTAGTGAATTTGTAGAGATTTTTATATGCTATTCATCCCTCTGACCATCTAGATCATATCACCGGCGTGAGCTCTACTCCAAACGTGCTCGAATTCTGAATTCAAACCTCCTCTGCCCAACAACATCTTATGGTTTATTTGGCTCACAGTGAAAACTTTTCTGTTTCTACGTTTTCTGAAAAAAAAAATAAACTGATTTCTATATCATTCCTACAAAAATTCTGTGTTCTAAATAGACCCGGAATGTCCATACCCTTTTGGTGAGGCGGCCCCTCCGTTCGGGCAACGGGCCGGCAAGGCAGAGGAACCAGAGGTGGGCAGGCGGGGCCCCCAGGTGCCAGCCGCGGAGGTGGCGGTGAGGCACGTTGAAAGGCGGGCGAAGGTTACGCAACGCAAGCGACCCGGCAGTTTCGAATCCGCCGAAAGCCTCATTTAAAGCCCACGGCACCCCTCTCCGTCCTCCTCGATGCTCCCACCCCACCACCCCCGCCCTCTGTTTTCCGGCTTCCCCCGTCTCTCTCTGGCCCCAACCGCAATGGCCAAGCAGAGGTTTCTTCTCGCTCTCCTCCTGGCCACGGCCCTCCTCGCGCTCTCCTTTTCGCAGGGTAAGCACGGCGCGGCCGCCCGGCCTGGCTACCGCTGCGCGCTCTTCCAATTCCTCTCATATCGCCGTACTCATGTCGGTGCCTGTGGTCGATGGATGTGTGGGTTGTGATGGAGCGCAGGGCTGGTGGAAGCGCGGAAGGTGCAGGCGCTGCGGCACAACGACGAGCGGCGCGCGGCGGCCCTCGGCGGCCGCCTGCTGCCGGAGGAGATGGCGTACACGACCATGGACTACGGGCCGCCCACGGCAAACACCAACACCCACGGCGGCATGATCCCGTCGCCGGACCCCTCCTCGCCGCCGACGCACTGATCGGATCGGCCAGTCAATCCACCGGCGGCGACTGTCTTGTTCTGCGTATATACTATACTACCGCCCGTACGTACGTGTACGGTCGTTATTTGGGATTGGAACTTTGGAAGAGAAAAGACGGAGAGGATCGGAAGAAGCTGCTGTTCTTCTCCCTTGGCGCGAGTGTTGTATCCTTGTGGTGTGTGCTGTGCTGTAGCTGTAGCTGTAGCTGTAGCTGTTGCTATGCTTGGTTGATTGAAGTTGGAACTGTTAGTGGGTCCAGAGTGTTATGTTTGGTGAGATGTCAGCGCACCATCGTTTCATTAGTTCTGATCAGTGAACTGAACTCGAGCATGTGCGCTAGGTCGTGTTTGTTTTATAAGTTATCACTTATCAGTTAATGAATAATATTTTTTTCTCATATCAAATCAGTCAACCGTATTTATTAATCTCTTGTTTGTTTTGTACGGTGAATTGTACGTACGTCCGTTGAATTTTGTCGGAATCCAACGCAAGTCCCATCTGTACAAGCCATAGATGAATGTACTAATGCAACAAAATTCGTCGCCACTGATTTCAACTACTCTTGTGTTTGTTTGTCTGTGTGCATAGCATATGCATGCATGTGAACTGAGAGCAGTTTGGTGCCTGAACTGAATGGTCAGTTGGCATCAAGATCGATCAGGTGGTAGCTAGTGTCAATGCTGACATGGGAAAGAATATATAGGGCGCGTTCGGCTGGTCAGGAAACCAGCCCGAAATCACTGTGCTGGCCTGAAAATACTGTTCACCCTAGATTCCAGATTTATCTAGGTTCTTCCAAATTCCTTCCAACGAACAAGCCTATATCATAGTGGTTTTCTATGGGTGTGCGTGTGTGAAGACCGACGACGAAACACACCAGCTAATCAACAACAGGGATCACTGGCAATTAGGCGAGTGTGTAACATCCTTTTAGCTTCGATAAGCAAGGAGGACTAATCATTCGTGCATCTTCATTGGAGCAAGCGAATAAGTGATTGATGATTGATTAGCGCCCCATTCGGCTGGGAGCGGCTGGCTAGCTGGGCTGGCCAGCCCTCTCATAGAAACACTATTCACATAAACCAGCCAGCAATACTTCTCTCTCACATAAACGAACCAGCAACGATACGAACCAGCCAACCGAACATGCTGTAGAGTGAGAGCCACAGCCACCCTTGCAACATGCACAACCCTAACTCTGATCTCCGGGCTGATATAAAATGAGTGTCAACCAAAATACTACATGTGGTGTGACCATAATGCATCCCCAAGACTCGAAAATTTGATGCCTTTCAGATTTCATATAGGTTATATACTACATGCTCTCACCGCCTCGAAATGACAATTGTATTTTGAAAATAGATTTTAAACCCTACTTTTACATTATGCTGTTATTTTCTAAAGATTCAATATTATCTCAGGGACAATTCAAATACAATGCAACTATGTTGATACAGGTTTTATGTCCTAAATTTGTATATAATTTGAATAATTATGATCAAAGCTTGTAAAATTTATTTCTTTTCCTATACGAAATAGGATTGTTATTCTGCAATGGAGGGGTATGTTGTATACATGCCTATTATAACTGGTGTCAACAAACAAGCATCCTTGGATCGAGCTTTGCTTTGTTCATCTTTTCCTTGCAAACAGGTGTAACGCAACGGTACGTACCACATCATTTGCTTTCCAAGTACACCACCGGCCGGAGAGTACCACCCGGGTCAACTCATAAGTCATATGCACACCAGTAAACATGCATGATGAAGTGGATCAGTCACCACTCATCAAGTCATCAGTAGCGACGATGATGATATCTCTTCCAAAAAGGCCGGGCTGCTCAGCTCATCCTTTTCCAATTTCCACGTCGCGGCGTCTGAACTGGTTGCATTGCATGCATGACAGATGTTGACTCCCGCTGAAAACCGTCAGCAGTTCAGCACGACATCGGAAGGTGTCAGTGACCTGCCTGCTGCTGACAGTGCCACCCCCCGGCCGTGCTGGCTATGGCTAGCTAGATACTCCTACTCCCGAGTGATAACGAACGCGGTACAGCGCACGTATTCTTTCGATCGACCGATCGATCGGTCGGTTGGAACATGCATGCGCGCCAACCTCGTGATCGACGGTTCACCCTTTTACTTTGTTTTTGCTTCGCGTTTCGCTCCACCATCATATCACATTCGTTCGCACATGCGTGCTGGGCACTCTTGATCACGCATCCGGCGATGATGGCATGGGGAGGGGAGGATGAAATATATAAAGGTCAGATCAAGGCCGAATGGTCAATGCTAAGACAAATCTGGGGCATCGATCCAACCTTATCTTTCTTGCGAAGCTCGCTTCCTTCACTTCTCGGACACGCTCCTCACTCCATTTCTTTCAGTAAAGACGTACTCGCAAATTGCACAGTGGCTGAGTGGCATATACATGCCGAGCATGGTCAGCTTGCCTCAGTACAAGAGTTGACGCAACAGGTTGGGTGGATGGGCGAGATGGACCCCTGCATGAGGTGAGAGGTCCATCAGGGGGGTCGTCGATGTGTGAAGTCACATGCATCCCAGCATCCGAACAAAAGGTTGGCAAGCCTTGGACTTTGCGACGGCTGAGCTGGACGTGATCAGTTTGGATTTGGATGCGTCGCCAAACCAAGAAATTTACGGGAGGGTACCGAAGCACCCTCTCTTTCCCCACGTTCGTCGCTTCCGTTTGCATGCATACATATGTTTGGTACATGTGCACAAACACATGGTAGCTTGGCGCAGATAGATAGATGCTCCACAGTCCAGAGGCCAGAGCTCGTGGGGGTCATCTGGTCAAAACATGCATATGTGCACGGGCGACAGATTTTGACTCTTTCACTGCTGGTAGTCAATTTTTTTTTTTTTGTGCCGCTGTCTGAAAGAGACTCCATGGGAGACATCCAGATGACCAACTAATTAGTAGTGCGCGTCTTGTCGTCACCACGTCGTTAATTAATTAAATTAAACTACTGCAAGCGCAATTGCGTACGTTGAGGTCGTGGAGTCTCGGTAACTCGGTGTATTTTGGTATAATCCTGACTAGGTTGTGCACAGTCAGCTGGAACGGCACACGGATGCACCCGCGACCAACTTCTTTTGTGTAGCGTAGCAATCCCGGGAGCGAGAGGACAACCGCCCGGCATGCTCGTATATATCAGCTCATGCGTCGTCTCGTCGACGTGTGCAGCGCTGATCAGAAACCGGAGCACAAAGACTAACCGCACGTCGCCTTCCGCTCCCGCGTGCATCATCAGCGTTTGACATCTCGCGGGAGTCCACGGGTTCGGCGCATGTTTGTGTCGCCGTCGCAAACGACGCAGAGGTCTCGCAACGGGACGGCCGGAGGAGCCTAGCGATCGAGAAACGATCGACAAGCCGACAAGCATGGGGATGGGGTCCGGCTGACCGACGATGGATAGGATAGGCGTCGGCCGCAGTGCGGGTGGACCGAACCAGTTGGCTCGAAACTGCGTGTGCCCCGAGGAGGGGATCGGCTCAGCTCGCTGCTCTTACGCCTGCGCGTTACAGAAACGATCTCTTCTTCGATCATTTTGAAAGTTTGGTCATCTACAAACGAAAATCGATCGGTTAGTTTTAAAACTCAGGACCAACCAAGTTGGATCTCTGTTGGTTCGATTAGATCTCGATCACGAAAGAACTAACTAGATTAGACAAAACAACAACCAAATAGTATAATTTATAGTAAATTTTAGCAATATTCTTTCTATTTTGAAGGAAAAAATAACAATAAAACATATAGACTAAACAAGGTGATAAGAGTGATGGTTCATATAAATCCACTAGAATAAATATTATATCACTAATAATAGTCTAAAGTACACATTATGTCAACAAAAACCAAATGCTCGGTCAATATCGTTACCCAAGGTATATAACTGAACTAACCGTAAAAAGTTTGGGTAGTATGGACTCGGAAACGAACTAGTGACCGAAAACCTCAAATCTTAGTCACTTTAGTCTTAGTCTCAGTTTGGTTCGGTCTTCGGTCAATTATGCCCAGAGTTAGCTGCTCGTGTGCTATCTTTCTCGTACTGAGTCCTTGCTTGGAATCCCTTCATTCTCGGAGCGTTTCGATTGCCTAGAGAGCGGCTCTTTCCTCAGTCCATGTTGTAGTACAGCTGCATCGATTCATTTGCTGACTCTTTGACTCGTTGATTTTACTCAGGCCTATATGTAACTCGATCGCGTCTCAACTCCGAGGACTGGAGCTGCTCTCACGTGCTCTGTTTTCCTTACTCAAGTCGGCGGTTATCTCGGCCACGGCCCGCTCGCCAGCTCGGGGAACGGTTTGGCAAGGTAAGGCTAGAGTCCGGACATCTAGCCCTAGTCCTGCGTCTGAACGCAGCTCCCACGACCCGTACCTACACCGCATCCCATGTACTCCGCCCCGTTTCCAACCAGCGCCAGCATCCGAAACCGCGGCCCGCGCCCCGCATGGCAGAACCGCACCCCACGCCCATCCTACGTCCGCACGGCGGAACCGCGACCCGCGCCCACATGCCCTGCTTATGGATGCGCGTTGTGGAGGCGACTGCAGGTCGTCACATGAACCACGGCAGCGCACCTGCAGCAGCATGCGGACAGCGGCCTGCAACACAAGATCTACTTTTGAAACATCCAGATGAAACCTTTGTCAAACAGATGAAACACTGAACGTTAAACAAATGAAACACTTAAAACATGTGTTTGAAACATGCGAGTATAGTCATTGCAACATGTGTAACACCAGATCAACTTTTAAAACATCCATATAAAATATTTGAAACAAACGTCTGAAACACTTAAATATACGCTTGCAGCATGTGTATATTACTATTGCAACATATGCAACATCCCAAATCGACTTTTACAACATTCAAATGAAATAATTGAAACATAAGTTGGAAACGCCTGAAACACATCAAACATGGCATCGCCGGCAACCATGGCCTACCTGGTGGGGAACTACAGTAA